GTATTTCTCTGAACGTAAAAAAAGAAAAGAAAATTAGACTCTACCTTTCTCATAACCTCAGAGGTACTAATTTTCAACATATATCAATCTACCAGAAAAATAGTGTTGATTACAAATTAGAACTATTACTTGGAAACGTTCAAAGTTTACCCTTGAGTGGTCCCTAAAAGAACAAAAATAGAAGAAAAAAAAAAGCATTATGCTGTCAGACAAATCCTGTATGCTTTCCTTGCTACCAGAACATCTTCAACTCAGTTACGTTCTCACATTGACTAGCAATCAGAGATAAGTTCAGGTGCCTAAATAGGGGTGCTGAAAGCCATTTTAGAAGCGCTGAGGTACCCTTGCCCGGCAAGCAGCTGCTACTGCAGAAGGACACGAGTCTCCTCTAAGTGCTGCATCATCTCTGCAAGCTACATGTGGATGATCTGCATATGCAAAGACATTTAAAATGACACTGGATGCCAATGCTCAGGCAACTAAATTGTTGCCTAGACGTACCTAGCTCTGTATGTAAGGAAGAAATTGCTTAGAAGATTGTATTTTTATAAAAAGATTGGAAATCATTGCAATCAGACCTGGGAAATCCTCCTCTGTGCATCAGGAAGTGGTAACAAAGCGTCAGGGTTACAACTACAAAGACAACTCAATTCTCTTTAGGTTACAATTACTCTCAGTGAGAGATAGTTATCTTTAGGTTGATAAATGTCAAACACTGCTTTTCTCTCTTACTTTTGTAATCCTACAGGAAAAAACAACAGAATCCTCACGTGTGACTTAAAACAGAAAATAAATCCTTTATAAGTACTTTTGCCTTGAAAACAACGCATATGTTTTTGTTATATTGAACCCTCAGATTGCAGAGTTTGTAACCCAGAAGCATCCATAAGAAACATCTTTAAACACGCTGCAGTCCATTACCAGGCAATCTCCCAAATTTAGGGGGTTTCTTAATCCCGTAAAGCCTCTATAGTGAACCTACGCTACACAGTGCCGCAGCTGCCGGCGGGGGCTTAGGCAGAGCCCCCAGCAATCCCCAGCTGCAATTTCCTTTGGGGACTAGCCATAACTAACGCCCACGAGAGCTCCCCCTTGCTCTGTATTAGCCTACCCCCAGAAATGAAAATCCAAAAGAGCAAAATGATGCTTTCATATTTCTCCATTCACTTCAGCAGCAGCAAAGAAAATAGCTGTGCTTGCAACAAGCATAAATATAGCTTTAAATTAAAATGTTTTCTAACAGCATTCAGTCAAGTAGCACAGATAAGTAAAAAAAAAAAAAAAAAAAAAACAAGAAAAAAAAAAGCTTTTTTTTTTTAAATCTGGTTATCTTCAATACTCATCTCCATTCTCACTTCCTTTGATTTTCATCCCTCCCTATTAAACCATTGCTTCCTATTTCCTCCACATCCCACTCTGTATTTGGCACAAGCTTCCAATTCTTGCACATGGAACTTTTCTTCTTCCTTCTTTTTCAAATTTCTCCCTAAAGTTCATGCCTTATGAATCTTTACCATGAATGCTCATTAACGATGTCCTAATTTTCACTGATCTTAGCTGTTGCTTTGCCTTTGCTCGAGAACGCTGAGAGAAGTGAGAGTGCTAAGGAAAGCAAAGCTTGCAAAGAGAGTGGTATTTTTTATTAGACTGCCTGGTACTGATGGAGAAAACAAACATGCTGTTGTGCTGAATCCTTTCCTCAGGTTACCAACACAATTTTCAGGATACCTAAGCATCATGTAACGACTAACAACTGAAACTAGCCACGCAGTCTGAACCGCATGCAACAAAACAAAGAATAAAAATCCAAATAATGAGTAGTTTGCTAACCAGACTTCTTTAATGAGCATTTGCATTTACATGGCTTTCAAACATAAGAGAAGCTAAATAACTGCAGTACTCCTCTCTTAGACTGATCCAACAATTTTGTTATATATTATGAAATGCCTTAAACGCAATTTAAGATCTAGGGGTAGAGTGCAGCTACTGAGTCCGTTTAAAACTCTGTTAAGTTTCCGACCCCAACTGATAAAAGCAGGCCAAGTAGGAACGCAGTTCAACAATGACTGTAGCTTCTGGACTCATATCAAAGACTACAATTTAGTGACCTCATGTCAACACTCCACAAATTCAACCTGAAAACAGATCTACGTTAGAAATGCTTCAGGAAGAACAGTCGACACAGCTCTAAACCCTTGACTTCTGCAAGATCACTGTAAAAGTTCAGGAGGACTATTATTAGCAAATACAATGAGAGACCGTTTTGGAAGAACATGCAAGGATTTAAAGGTTTCCTCCTACTGGCATTGAAGAACTTCTCAGGAAAAACAACAAGGCATAACTTCCAGTAATAATTAAACTTTACTTTTAATAATAGTAGTAGGCACCAGGTTGCATTGCTCTGGTCTCTGTTCCTTAGCTGGGAACAAAAGTAATAGTTATCTGGGAAAAAAATCAGTCCCAGTCTGAACGAGAGGGCTATACACTCAGGACTGAAGTACGTGCTGCAGAGGCACGTGCCATATCAGCTGGTTTGGGAAGGATAAAAAAGACGGGAGCTTAAAGGTCCTTCCCTTCTCTCATTAATCTGGAATACTTTGTAGAAGAGCTGTCAATTATGTCAAAAAAGTGCTTGGACTAGACTTGTGAAGAGAGTTATGGACTGCCATATAAAGATTTCTAATTTCCCTTTAAGACTTTCTTAGGACACGGAACATCCTATTCCATGCACGTTCTCCCCCAAGCAATGTGAGGCAATTCCTAGAAGGGGATTCAGGTAGGATTAACTCACTCCAGAGCTCATACTCTGAAGATATCCAGCCTCTGAGAAATCTAAAAACAAATAAGCCAAAAAAAAAAAAATTCCAGTATAGGCTTTCAAAATCGTGTTGTGATGCTGAGTTCTACAATGTTATTTGTAGTACAAGTATTACAACCTGGATTAACCTCAAGAATGCTGTTACAATACCCTTCCTTTCTCTAATTTTAAGTGGTTCTAAAAAATATCTGAAACATTTATTTACTATTTACAATGCAAAGCTTAAAGACTCCAGTGAAAATCTTCATCAAAAATGTGAGTGAGAAATAATCAGTATTTTCTTTCAGAATTTTCTCCTTTTTCTTGCATTCAAGCACACAATTCGCTTTCTCATACCCTTTCATCTTTAAGTCAGATTTTCTGAAATCAATATTACTATTTTTCCTATTAATTCTTCAGCACAAACTTGGAAAGATCTAGACATTTTAAAGAAAGTTGCAGAAAGGTCACCATGTCCAGTGCATAGATATTTTTTCTATCAAGAAGGGAGGTCATGTATTTTGTCTTTTTTTTTCACCTGTGAGTACAGTATACAATTGAGTGCATGAAAGTTTACAAAGCAGATATCCAAGGCAAGACCAAAAAATATTTCTGTGGAAAGGCCTAAATGCAAATTCACTTTTTCTGAGTTAAAAGGAGTCAGAAGTAGAGTCTTCTTATATGAAGAATAGATGATTCTAAAAAACTAGAGAAAAACAATTAAATGATCCCACAATAAAACCAAGGCTAAAAGGTACGAGAACAAACTTGCTCTGAAAAGATAACATTCATCTGAAATACAATAAACCCATGCTCTAACAGAAATAATAAGCGAGTCTAGAGTGAAGATCAGCGTAGAGCTACCTTGTAAAATATACGAAAAATATTTTGGTTCAATTTCCACCTTTTTCCAAATACAGTTCGTTTATAGTCCTGTTCCCAGGAGTATCACATCAGATCAGTTTATGGTTAGCCAAATGCTAGTTTTCAGAAGATTTTCATTCTTCTAAAAGTCACTATTAGTTTTCAATGAAAAAAGACAACGAAAGGACCTCATCACGACCTGTCTAGGATGTGGGCATATGATGTCAGAAGATGGACTCTTGGGATTTCAAATACAGAAAACTATGTTAAAAGAAGTTTAAGGCTACACAGGCCCCCAAGAATTACAGGGAAACCTTTGTGCAGGCACATTACGAACTATTTTTTAAATTAAGAACATTTCACACACACTCCAAAAAAGATCTCCGCTCATTTATTGTCCTGACCGTACCCACTTTGGAGATGAATTAGGGTTACGCAGCAGAAGAGACTCCTGTAAGTAGTGCCTCGTTTCCTTTGCTGCAAGAATTGGAAAATAAGCATGGCATGAAGCAGAAGTGTGCAGTATAAGGAAGGAAAATCTCATGACCCACAACATTGCAGTGCTGTCCTTTAAGACACAGATCCTCTCCTTGCCTCTGCTCAGAAGTTCTCATGCGAAAACAGGCAAGTTTCTTAAACAAAAAATGTCCTAACTGCTCAGCTGAGTGTCTTTTATTGCATAGCTGCCTGCATTGCAACACTGGACTTAATACAGAGAAATGTAGAATTTCTTACAGTTGCAATTAAAGGGAGCCGGAGTTTGCTTTGGAAGTTTTATGTGACTACCGCTAAAATAAAAAATAAATCAGGTCACAGGTGCTTCAAACTTGGCACTGAAACTTAGCAGCACTTCTGACCTCAATCTCCTTGTGCTCCATTTCCCCGGCTAATAATAATTCTTCTTCTCAGTAGGGTGTTATGAAAATCAATTAACATCTGAAGCACTGAAATACTGTAGTGATGAGTCCTGTAGAAATGCCAAAGAAGAAAATAATAACTTCATCCTCAAATCCTGGTCTGAATGGTATATA